CCCCCCCACCGCCGAGCATCCCTCGGCACCCGGACGGACCCCCTTCTCTCGCCGTCTTTCCTTTCCCCTCCTTTTTTATTTATTTATTTACTTATTTATTTATTTTTAACTAAGGCTCCCCGGGGAGGCGTTCTTTCTCCCGCCTGTTCTGCCGCTGCGAACAACTCAAAGTCTCTCTCACGCCCTCCAAAATACACCCCTCCCCCCCCAAAAAAAAAACCCAAAAAGTGCAGACTGTGTAGTTTTCGAAAGGACTGACAAATGCGATCTTATTCTACAGGAAATAATCGTTTAACACCCTCCCTTCCCACACACCCCCCACCCCACACCCCCCTTCTCCGCGCCGCTTCAGGTGACAGCTAAAAGTTCCCTTCACATGAAGAGGAAGGCTTCAGTTTTTCCTCTGAAGAGGAAAGACCCGTTTGATGAAATGATAGAAAGCTAACAATAATATTGGGGCGTTTTGGTTGGTTTTTTGTTTGTGTTGGGGTTTTTTTTGTTTGTTTGTTTTGCTGCGGTTTTTTGTTTGGTATTTTGCTTGGGGGATTTTTAAAATCGTTTCTTAAAACACAACAGCACACGATTTCCTTGTGATTTCAGGGAAACCCAGGGAGTCCCTATAGAAAAGAGGGAAATATGGTAGTGCTTGTGGTGAAGGTGGTTTTGTTTTGTTCTTTTGCTTGTTTGTTTGTTTGTTTCCATAGTTTTCCGGTTTGTTAAATGACAGAAACTGCCTTCTGACAGCCCCAAAGTGCTGGGAAATAAAATGTGTCAAAAAAGCGTTTACTCAGGAGAGACATAGAAGGCTTCCACAGAGAGATGCACAGAGTTACCCAGTATGATAACATTCCATAAACACAGACAAAGTTGTCATTAAGAGAATCTTCAAGTCTCTGTGCCCGGCATGGAAAGATCAGGACATTTCATGCTTGAGGATATTCTAACCAAACCAATATAAAATGTATATCTTCCTATATAAAATGTACACCCTGACCAAGCACTCCAACTGCTTAATTAATTTCATAATGTTCAATGTGGCTGTATTTTGATAATAGGTAACATGACTCACGTGATATATTCTGGGATGTATTAATTGCTTGGAGCATTTTATCAAGGATATTGGTATTAGTTTGAAAGTCCCTCTGTGTCTCCCCTGTGTGAGTGTTACTGCATGAGCATATATATATATATACATACACACGAATGTACACATTTGCCACACAGGCAGGAGTAGTAATCTTAGCTTTTAAAATGTCCCAGTGCTATCATGCTCAACTTCACAAACTTAACGCTCCTATTTTACATTTAATTTTCTGCTTTTGAAAAAAAAAATATCTGGTGGGGAAGGGAAGGAGTCTGAAGTAGTGCTGTTGGCTTTCCTCCTGTGGAAGGTGCAGTCGCTCCCTGTTCTCCTCAAACAATGAAGTGCACTTAGCAGAAGGCAGGAGTGAGCTCCTCTGACCTACCTGGCAGCTCTCTGTTTACAGCTTGTGCAAGCAGCAAGCTTTTCTTTTTCACTCACCTATAGATAAATCATTTTGAGCTCTTTCAAAACACATTTATTGCCTTATCTTTATTAATCTAGCTAAATCAATGTCAAGTATAATGCCAGGCAAAAACTTTGCTCTTCAGAAGGGTCTAGAGCAAGCTTTACATTTCGGTTTGGTGAAGTACTGTGAAGTACTTTTTACTTCAGAGGCATGATTTTATAATTCATGCCGTGTTCAAGAACAGCTGGCATCGTTTTTCTCTAGCCCAGAAGAAAAAAAAAAAAAAACAACCAACCTCTCAAGCAGAGGCCAAATGTGGAAAATTTCTTCCCAAAAGATAATTGGTTGGAAAGTTCTGAGCATGAAGTTATTGTGGAAACGTGTTAGCAACGTCGGTTTTAGTGGCCATGACCAGGTGCCTGCTGTAATTCTGACAGAGATTTAGCAACTGGCCGTTCTTACTTAGCTAGCTGTACCACAATTTAGAGTGTTTTCAGCTAAGCAGAGCGCTGTCACAGAAAGATGAAGAAGGGAAAAAAGCAACTGTCTCCTTCAGTGTGGGTAGCTTGGAAATCCAATTGTTGTTATCCTGTTGTTAAGGGTCACTGACATCTACTCAACAATCACAACACTTCATCAAGTAGGCAGATGATTATTTTGTTCTGAAATCATACTACATTATACAAAACTAACGCCAAGAGATTTGTTTGCTATACAATGCTGTTTCACCACTGCTGGTACCATTATTTTCGGTACTAAAAACTGACAGCAAACCAGTTGTGGTCATTCTCGAACTACTCCTGAAGTGAGCCGGCTCCTCCCTGCAAAGCAAACAGAGAGACTGTTCCTGTACGCATACGCACTTAAGATTAGGCCACTGAAACATGTCCTGGCTTGAAATTATTCAGTGAAAAAAGAAAATGAAACCACAGTGAAAAATAAAACCAGTTCCACTGTGTCACATAGGTTTTATTCTGCTCCCCTTTAAAACCAAAGCTAACTTGATCTCAGTAAAGACATAGGATCACACTCCAGTGTAAAAAACAAAAAACATAAAAAACGAATAATTAAGACTATCAGGAAGTCAAAGCAAAACCCAGTACAGCCACCAGATGCTCTGATGTTCTTTGCCAGTTTCATTTTCCATCTCATAAAATATCTTTCATTTGCCTCCCTCTGAACATTTACTGATCCTTTTTCACTTCATTTCTCTCTTTCATCACAAACTTCAGGAGACAAGTCCCCCCAGAACAGCACTCATTTTACAGAGATGTCCATTATTTCTACTTTCCCTTCAGCCAGGTACAGCAGCTCATCACCAGAAGACTGACACATATTCTCCCTCTTCTCAGACATAGGCTGAATACCACCCTATGGTATGGTCCTTGCAGCCCTCCAGGACTCTCCAGTGCAGAGGAAAGAATTCTTTTCCTTTACCTCTTCCTGAGCAAATCCTGCCTGCACATCCCTTGACACTATTCATACGCTGTGACTATTTGATTAAAACTAAAATATGACTGTTTTCTTGCTAAACAGAGCTATAGGCATCATTATACAGAGGAAGAGACTCCCATCCACACAGCAAAAGCTTTCTGCTGTCTCCCATCTTAATATTTTTGCAACTGTAGGATGTTAGTCAGAGCTAGTCAGCTTTGGGGTTTTAATTGTATTGTTTTGAAATTACCTTAACCTTGACTGGTCCAATTTTTCCCTGCATGGCACATATATGAGAAAGAGGTTTCCAGTACTCAGAGTTGTCACGTGGTAAAATCAGCACAGAATCAGGTTTTTTGACTCCGCCCAAAAAAGTATTCTCTATTTCTGTGGTGGGAATTAACCTTCACCGTGATTTTTGCTACGTGGTACGTTCAGGTCTGAATCTATGTGGTAAGACTCCCGTTGCCCAAAACATGAACTAGTTTTGAGACTATTTTCCCATCTGACTGGATAAACATCAGAGCTGAAACTTGAAAATATTTTTTCCAAGGTTTAGATTGCTACTTGCTTGAACCATGGACGTAATCTGCAGCAGAAGTAGCATC